GATTATGCATCCAACGTGTTCTTTTCTATTTTCTGCATATCTGCGCACTTATATATATATATATATATATATATATATATTGGTAATTGACTGTTTTCTAAAGAAATAATTTATTTTTAATCCGACATATATTATTATTACTTGAAACGTTTTTTAGTCGATGCCCGTATTTAAATAGACTCTGCGTTAATTTTTAAACAACGTTTATTTTTTCTACCGGCCAGCACACTCGAGAAAAATGAATAAAAAAGGCGCGCATCGGCGGCATTCGAACTTGAGGCCTTCTTTGCAGGAGGGAACATCCTCTGATTCGGTCTGCGTTGACCACTCGGCTACAAAGAGCATTCACTGGCCAATGTTCATAATACTTTTGTTCGAATGCTTTCTACTATCTGTAGTCATTATCACAAAGTTAAAATTAACACTGTCATTAAGAATTGTTTTAATTAGCTTCAACGAATCATTGTCTATATAAGGGACACCATGATTCAGTTTGTAATTACATGTAAGGGGTATTTTCTTTCTTTCTTTCTTTCTTTCTTTCTTTCTTTCTTTCTTTCTTTCTTTCTTTTATTATCTGTTTATTATCTATCTATCTATCTATCTATCTATCTATCTATCTATCTATCTATCTATCTGTCTGTCTGTATGTATGTGTGTATGTAAGTATATATCTATCTATCTCAACGTGTTCATATCTATATATGTCAGTCTGTTCATATCTATCTATCTATCTATCTATCTATCTATCTATCTATCTATCTATCTGTATGTATGTAAGTATATATCTATCTATGTCAACCTGTTCATATCTATATATGTCAGTCTGTTCATATATATCTATCTATCTATCTATCTATCTATCCCTGTCTGCACATTATACACACACTACCATGCACATATGCATTTTCATTCCCTCTTTCTTTCTATCTCTCTCTCTCTCTCTCTCACACACACACAGACACACACATATACACACTCGCACTCTCGGTGTCCTATACCATTTTTGTTCAAATACACAAACGTATCTTGAAGCTATTTTGGCCCGCAGGATTTCTATTGACTGGCTTTTCCAAACTCACATCGTAAAAGTTAAAGTTTGTTGTAAAGAGACGAGATCAACTGGACAGAAAAAGGGGGCAACTTGAATGAGGGATGGAGTGCCTAATAAAAGCCCTGAAGACGGAAATGAAAAAAGGACCTAGGAAGACAGTGAAAAGAGAAAGGGAGACAAAAATGTAAATAATAGAAAGAAAGAAAAAGGGTAAGAATAAAATAGAGAAAAATAAATAAAAAAAGAAAGGGATAAGTAAAGAAAGTGAGAAAGAAAGAGAGAAATAGAAAGAGAGAAAGAATGAAAGAAAAGGGGTAATAAAAAAGAGAAAAAGGGATATAAAGAAATAAGAAATATAAATGAAAATAAAGAAAGAGAGGAATAAGGAAAGGCAGGAAGAAAAGGAGAAAGAAAGAGAAAAGACGATGCATGAGATGAAGAACAAATGCAAGAAAGAGAAAATGAAAAAAAGAATATATAAATAAAAATAAAATCTAAAGAACTCTGGATTATAAAACTGACTGTTCTTTCTTATATATATATAGGAGGATTTGATAATTATATTTAAGTAATTCATTGAGTCTGAAAGAAACCTCATCAGAATGCAGAAAGCACTCCTAAAATCCTCCTAATAATTACTATCTGTGTATATCATCGCTTGAACCGGCTTCTAATGCTCCAGTCTGAGCGGCTTGAGAGTAGTCGTGGCTCCAGGGGGCACAGTCCTATGGTTACAGAGAACTCAGTTGAGTTCCGCCACGGAATATGTGAGCGAGCGGCGCTAAGTTGAGTCTGATTTGGAATCTCTTCGTCACCGAGGCCCATTTTGGAACAGTTGGTATGATGTTTGCTTGACAACCTAACTGTCAGGGTTTCAATTCTCGGTAGTGGATGCACACTGCTGATGAATCCCAAATATAGGATGAAACGGCCGTCCAGTGCTTTCTGCATTCTGTTGAGGTTTCTATCAGATTCGATGAATTAATTAAATATAATTATCAAATCCTCTTAATTATATATATATATATATAGTCGAATCCATTACATTCACTTATGTGCGGTGAATCTTCTTCTTCTGGGTAAGTAGTTGCCTTCGGCGAAGGAGGACAACTCTGGCTTCAAAACCTGATCCTCCTCTGATTGGGGGTTATGCAATAGGCTAACAACCTACTCACTTAAAAACTGACTTGTTACTGAAACCGCACCGATATCTTGCGTCCCCGTGTTCCCCAAAGATATATATATATATATATATCTTGCGCAAGGAATCAAAAGACATAATATATATATTTGTTTCCAGTTTAGGATATGGTTTAACCGTTCGTTTGTTCATGGCCATAATGATTTAACTTTCTTAACTAGTGACTGAGACTTTTTATTATGAATTTGCCGTGTTGGTAATTTTTTACTGGGTTGGTAATGTATTACCGGGTTGGTAATTTTTTTACCGGGTTGGTAATTTTTTACCGAGTTGGTAATTTTTTTTATCGGATTGGTAATTTTTTTACCGGGCTTGTAATTTTTTTACCGGCTTGTAAATTTTTTTACGGAGTTGGTAATTTTTTAGCGGGTTGGTCATTTTTTTTACCGGGTTGGTAATTTTTTACTGGGTTGGTAATTTTTGGGTTGCTTCATCTGACTGGTAATAAGGAACTCACGATCGTTTTGCTCGACTGTAGCTCTTAGATCAAGAGTCGCATAATATCAGGGTATTTGTAGTCCCAAGCCATTATTAAAAATGACAATTACATTGCAATAATTTTTCAATGGCTATTTCAATTTGCCTTTTCACAAGGCTACATTTATAATTACAAGTGTTGATAGTTTGGTGGGCTGCTGGATCATGTAATTTAAATTGTATGTATTTAGGCAGCATTTTTTCATTGATGCATGTTTCCTTATGTAAGCCGAAAGCTTAGATAGGATTAAAAAATATGTATCAATATTGTGATTTTCTTTTAATGATAATGCTATTAAGCTTATCAGACGATAGGAAAAGAATTTACATAAAATAAATAGAGAAAACTTGTCTATATTATTTAATGAAACATGCATCAATGAAAAAATGCTGCCTAAATAACTACACACAATAATATATATATATATATATATATATATATATATATATATATATATATATTTGCACGTATGAAGCAAAAGAGTGATATTGCATCTTCTCATGTTGCTTTGTTTTATATTTGAAAGTCATGAGAATTTTGGATTTGACCTGACGAAGTTTTTGACCTTACTGTCAGAAAGGATATAGGTGGCGCCATTTTAGAGACAGTGACGTTCGTTCATGAGATGACTTGATGAAATTAATTAGATTTATGCTTATTAAGACGAATGAAGACAATGGAAAAGCCGTCTTGGCCGAAGAAGAAGGAAAAAGAATTAAAATAAAGGGAATTAAAGTTTGGCTGGAGAGGCAGAAAAATTCAATAATACGTCGAGTCTGTACGATAGAGGGGAAAAATAATCGAAAAATTTGATTTATCAATTTATTTTTCGTTCTTATAAGATGTATTTAAATAGATTCTGAAGTGCGTCATAAAAATGGCGTCCACATGATGAATAATGGTAGAAAAGCTCTAGAATGTTTTTTTTTTTTTTTAAATCAACGAGTAACCAAGAGGATTTCTTTTGTGGGATTTGGGATTTATAATAATTTTAATTTCATCATCAGCGTTTTGTTTTTTTCGTGAAGATTTTGGTCAATTTATTTATTTATTTTCGTTTTTTATTCGTATTATGAAATATTTTCCTTTCCTTCTGGGGTTTGTTTGCCTGTTCTCTTTTTCTTTCTTTCTTTGATCTATATATATTTTCTTTGTTTCTTTCTCAGTTCTATTTAAATTTTTTTCTTTATTGTTTGAACTCTTTATTATCTTTCTTTCTTTTTTCAATTTGATTTGTTCAATTTCTTCTTTCTTTCTTTCTTTCTTTCTTTCTTTCCCGTTATATATTTTTTCTTTCGATCTCTTTATATTTTCTGTTTGTCTGTCGTTGTTTGTCTGTTTCTTTTTCTTTCTTTTTTCTTTCTATCTATCTCTTTCTATTTTCTTTCTTTCTTTATATTTTCCTTTCTTTCATCTTCTATCTTTTTACATTTTTCTTTTTTACTTTTCTTTCTTCTTCCTTTATTTGATCTATTTATTCTTTCTTTCTTTCTTTTTTCGATCTCATTCTTTCTTTCTTTCTTTTTTCTTCAATCTCATTCTCTCTTCGATCTCTTTCTTTTTTCCTTTCTTCGATCTCATCCTTTCTTTCTTTCTTTCTTTCTTTCTTTCTTTCTTTCTTTCTTTCTTTCTTTCTTCGATCTCATTCATTCATTCATTCTTTCTTTCTTTCTTTCTTTCTTTCTTTCTTTCTTTCTTTCTTCGATCTCATACTTTCTTTCTTTCTTTCTTTCTTTCTTTCTTTGTCAATCTCTATCATTTGATATTAATATTTCTTTCTTTCTTATTTGATTTCGAGAAATGACTTCATTTTCTTTCTTCCTTTTCCAAATAGCTTTCTTTCCTTCTGCGATGTCTTTTTATCTTGTTTATGCCTTCTTTCTTTCTCTTAGGTAATTTATGTAGTACGATTTTTTTTACGCGTAAATTGTATTTCCATGTTTTCAATGTTTTATTTTTACGTTGTTGCTTTTTTTTTTCAAATGTTATTGTAACTTTATTTTAATTTTCCTTTCGTGAACCAAAGTAATTAAAATGCCGGACGAGGATTAAAACAATGGCTTGAAATTAGTGAATATATTAAAAAAAAAAAAAGCGGAATTAGATTACGAAATAAAGAGAATTAAAACAGTGGGGCTATGAAGAAAGAAAAATGGAATATATCAGACGATAATGAATTAGCGATATTAGTAGGTTAAGGCGGCCAGGGAACAAAAGAATATAAAACCCGAAAAAAAAAAAAAAGAAAAAAAAAAGAAAGAAAGAATTTATGAAAGAAACAGAGAAATAAGGAAAGAATAGAAAGAAATAAAAACAGGAAAGGAAAACAGGGTGAAAAAGAAAGTTTTCAGAGAATAAAAACGAAGAAATGGTAAAACAGAGAGAAAATCAAATGATGCAAAATAGTAAACGATCATTGGAAGATGGAGGAAGAAGAGTGAATAATAAAGAAAGGGAAAAGAAAGAAAGAAAAAATCTATAAAAAAGAAACGAATTAAAAAGAAAGAAAGAAAAAACAGGGAGAAAATGAAGGAAAATTAAAGGATATATTTGAAGAATCAAAGCATTATTAAAGAAAGAAGCGACGACAGGAAAAAGAATGAGAGTAAATAAAAAGAAAAAAAAGAATAGAAAGAGAAAAAGGAAAAAGAAGAATCGAAAAAAGAAAGAAAAATGAAAGAAATCAACATTTTAGAAATGTATGAAAGAAAATTGAAAAAAAATGAAAAACTGGAAGAAAAAAAGAAATAAGATGTCAGAAAATGATTTTAAAGAAAATTTAAAAAATGAATGAAAGAAAGAAAAGAAAATAAAGACACGAAATTTTGTTGCAGGATTTCTGAAAGAGAAAAGAACAAAAATATGTCAATAAAAAGAAGACAGAAAAGAAACCGAAAAAATAACTTGAAAATGAAGAATATTTTATTTGAAAGAAAGAAATTTATAAAAGAAATTAAAGACGGAAAGAAATAAAGAAACCAATATATCACAAAAGTTATAAAGATTTTAAAGAATTATTTTTTAAACCAAAAAAAGAAAGAAAAGAATAAATAAAATAATGACACGTAATTTCGATGCAATAGGTCGTAAAAAAATAAAAGAAAAGAAGAATATGGAAGTAAAAAGAAGAAAGAAAAGAATAATATTTAAGTAAAAAGAAGAAAGAAAGAAAAGAAGAATATATAAGTAAAAAAGAGAAAGAAAAGAAGAATACGTAAGTAAAAAGAAAAAAGAAAAAGAAAAGAAGAATATATAAGAAAAAAAGAGAAAGAAAAGAAGAATATGTAAGTAAAAAGAAGAAAGAAAGAAAAGAAGAATATGTAAAGAAAAAGAAGAAAGAAAAAAGAAAAGAAGATTATATAAGTAAAAAGAAGAAAGAAAATGAAAAGAAGAATATATAAGTAAAAAAGAGAACGAAAAGAAGAATACGTAAGTAAAAAGAAGAAAGAAAGAAAAGAAAAATATGTAAGGAAAAAAAAGAAAGAAAAGAAGAATATTTAAGGAAAAAAAAGAAAGAAAAGATTATGTAAGTAAAAAGAAGAAAGAAAAAGAAAAGAAGAATATATAAGCTAAAAAGAGAAAGAAAAGAAAAATACGTAAGTAAAAAGAAGAAAGAAAAAAAGAAAAGAAAACAAGAATACGTAAGTAAAAAGATGAAAGAAAAGAATATGTAAGTAAAAAGAAGAAAGAAAAGAATATGTAAGTAAAAAGAAGAAAGAAAAAGAAAAGAAGAATATATAAGTAAAAAGGAGAAAGAAAAGAAGAAAACGTAAGTAAAAAAAGAAAAAAAGGAAAAGAAAAATGTGTAAGAAAAAGAAAAGAATATGTAAGTAAATAGAAGAAAGATAGAAAAGAAATAGGAGACAGAAAAAAAATGAGCTTGAAAAAAGTTGTTTTATTGTTTTTTTTTTATTTGGAGAAAGAAAAATGATGAGAAAACTGACAAGAAAAGGTAATAAAAAGTCCGCAGCAAACAGCCGACAGCAACCAGCTGCTCAAGTGACAATATGGCCAATGACAGAACGCTAATTAATGCACACACGATGCATATTGAATTTTTATTCATTAATTTATCGCAACTCATTCTTTTTCATTTGTATTATTTTATTCAGAGACAAAGATTTTTAAGAACGGATTGAATTTATTTACATTTGCATCGTATGACAATCTGTCGGAGTTTTTATTGTTTTTGTTTCTCGCCTTTTATAATGCAGGAGAAAAAAAATATTACCGAATATTTCCAGAAAAAAATGTTAGTTCAAAATTATCTGGATTGAACAGATAAGAATTTTAAGAATTAAATATTGCTTTCCAAAAAATAAAACAAAAATGAATAAGTATAAACAATGGAATATTCTTCGAAAAAAACCCAACAAAAAACAAAAAAAAACTATGGGAAACAAGTCCATTATTAAAAAGTTTTGACATTATTGACCTTTTGTTGTCCTTATTCTCTATCATAGTTTTGTTATAACTCACTTTTTCTGTCTTTGTTCCTATCTATCTATCTATCTATCTATCTATCTATCTATCTATCTATCTATCTATCTATCTATCTATCTATCTATCTCAGTCTGTTTCTTTCTATCTATCTATCTATCTATCTATCTATCTATCTATCTATCTATGTATAACAGTCTGGTCATAAATCTATCTATCTATCTATCTATCTATCTATCTATCTATCTATCTATCTTATGTGTCTATAAGATTTCGATTCTCGGCAGTGGGGACACACAAACAACAAAAAACGGGGCAAAAATACAGTGTCAAATGCAGCCCTGTCTCTGACCATATTGCTGTTGCCATATTAATTCATCAGCTTTGACCCCTTGACAGACATGAACTCCTTCCCAACATTCTCTTCTTCTTCTTCTTCTTCTTCTTCTTCTTCTTCTTCTTCTTCTTCCACATGCATTCAAACTCATTTGTTTACTGTGCATTGATTGTATATTCAACCGTTAACTTTTTAATTTATTATTATTATTATTATTATTATTATCATCATCATCATTATTACTATTATTATTATTATCATCATCATCATTATTATTATTATCATCATCATCATCACCATTATTATTATTATCATTATTATTATTATTATTATTATTATTGTGATGAAATAAAAAATAATAATAAATTATCAAATAATAATAAGAGAATATAAAAGCGATTCAATGTGACTGAGTCGAGTGGAAGATCATTCACAGAAACTCAGGCATTGGCACAGAACTGAGTCAAATGAAGGGAGCTGGTCTGGTGATCAGCTGCACTACGACCAGATGGGACCTGGAACTGCTGCTGATGTTGGTAATGATGATGATCATCACTGAGTTCCGATTGTGAATAGGAGTGTCAAGTTTATTAGACTAGCACACGTAATCAGTAAAGCAAATCGATTTCTGCTTTTGCACATTTCCTTTGTTAAGACTTTCTATCTGTAAGCCGGTAGACATTAATTTCATACTTTAAAACTCATAGATCTCTATATAAAATATAACGTTTACGATAATAACAGTAATAATATTATATATATATATATATATATATATATATATATATATATATATATATATATATACTAGCAGCATGGCCCGGTGTTGCCCGTGCTTGATTCAAAAATCATACGACTCATACAGCAATCGCTATCACTTGACTTAAAATATTTTTGCCCTTCCTTGCCTTTAAAGGAGTGCCTTTTGCCGTGCTGATGTTGCTACATGCCTTACTTCTTGCCTATCTCACGCTGCGAATTTTTTCTAAGCTCTATACTAAACATTAAATCTGTTACGAAAAAAGAACTAAACAAAATGAACACAAAACGATCAGCTTTAAAAGAGGACTCGTAACTTGAAAAACCGAATGAAAAAAGAATGTTAACAACAAATACTTTTTCACACCCAACCCAGTTCAGTGGAATCAGCAAGCGAATGAGCCAATTGGAGTAAAGTGCCTTGCAGATTTAAATTTTTCCCACTTGTGACGGATGCAGCTATCGATTTTTTTGCATGTTAAAATTCTTTTCAGTCAGCTGTTGGCTCTCAGGCTGGCCAATAGAATCTTCCTGCCTATTCGTGGCAGCGAGCTATTGGCTCTCACTCTGGCCAGTACAAAATGTCCGCAAACTACATGAAAACTGCCGTAGAAGCATGAAAAAATTGATTATTTCCACTATCGATGGGAATTGGAAAATGCAAAATCGGTCTTTTCCTTCTCGCTAACTTGGAGCATGTGCATGTAAATTTTGGTGCAAATCCGTCGAAAATTGCAGCCGTGCATTCGTTACACACACACACACACACACACACACACACACACACACACACACACACACACACACACAATAAACAATAGACACACTACCCAGCCTTATATATATATATATATATATATATATATTAAAAAACAAAATCCCAAATCACCTCAAACATGAGTATAGGTCTGTTTTAACCAACAGGTAGTACTTTAGTCTTATTCAACCCCAATGTATGGACTGTGTTTCAGTGTCGGAATTTTGAACAAAAAATTAAATTTAAAAGAGACGATTAAAATTTATTAACTCTTTCCTTCAAAATATATTTAAATTTTAAATAGAGAATAGAAATAATTTGAGAAATTTTAAAATTAGAAAAATAAAGTTTTTAGAAATTTGTTTTAGAATCTTCACTTTGTTTCGGATTTCATGGGTTAAATTCTCTTTGATCACTTCAAATCAAATATACATACACAACACACATAAAAACATTATTTTTCTTTTCATATATATATATATATACATATATAATATTATATGAAAAGATTTACTTTATTTTTAAATATCAAATTTTTTAAGTCCCAAAATTTCTTGGTAAATTTTCCAGTTTTTTTATAATAATTTTATTAACAAGAATCTTTAAATATTATTTTAATATTTTTTAATTGGCAGCACTATATATAAAAAAACCAATATCTGCTGTTTCTTAAATCTGATATATATATAGAGATATATAAATAAATTTTTCCATATTTTTTCGGTATTTAACCATTGTCTTTTTTATGTATAATATAGTAATCCAAATTTTTCAATTGGACTGAAATTACACACAATGCAAACTCACCACTGCAGTTTCATCCAATTAAATGTTTTTTTCCGGCAGTTTATATTTTCGCTAATTTTTTTAATGAATAAAAACTGAAACCGAGATAAAGAAAAAGTAGTGTTTATTATTTTAAATATTATATATATATATTATTAGAAAAGTATTTTGTTCGAACATAAGAAAAATTAAATAAAATCAGGAACCCTAGTACCTTGTTTCTGTCGTTTTTAATAGAAATATGAATATATATATATATATATATCATATATATATATATATATAATATATATATATATATATATGAATGTGTGTGTGTGTGTGTGTGTGTGTGTGTGTGTTTTTATTCTGTTTATTTTTCAATTTCTTTTTAAATACATTGAATGTTCAATGGATGGAATTCGTGGGAAATCTTTCTTATACTAACGCGCGTAAAATTCATTCAAATTTGCTATAAATTTTTTCATCCGTATCAAATTAGTGTTTTATTAAAATTCTGCTGGTGTTCTAAATTAGACGCCGGTTATATATAAATATATGATATATTGCAAACATTAGGCGAGTTCGCTCTTCGGCGACTTCACCGTAATCAAGATAATATGGGCAGCGTTAGGAGTGTCGGATTGAAGGGTGTACAATAATGACAGTAGTGGCTGGGTGCTGGAAATTGAATGGACGGCTGTTTTGAATGAATTTTATGGTCATCCATTTTACCTACTTATTTTTTACCCATCTCTCAGATTCTTCATATATATATATATATATATATATATATATATATATATATATATAAGAATAAAAAATATCAAAAATTTAAATCTTCAGAGACACTGGGTTGTATATTAATATTCCTTCGTTTTATATTATTATTTCATTTAGATTTCGATTAGTCTTTTTAAAACATGGCCATCATCAGGAGAAAAATAATTTTCTTGCTGGTAGCAGTGAACTACAGAAAAAAATGTCTTGATGGATAAAATGAACTTTTTCCTCTGTAGTTTTCATTTGTTTTTTTTTATTTTTTTTTTTTATTTTAACATGAATTTTGGTCAAGTCCTTTGTTGGTGAAACAGTCTCTTTTAAAAGTTTATTAGAGACAAGAGACTGGATGGATTCATGCTGATCTGAATTCCCTTAGTCATTTGACAAATTTTACTTGTTCCTGGAAAGGGATGTATATATATATATTTATATATATATATATATATATATATATATATATATATATATATGTCTATATGAAAACATTTATATATATATATATATATATTCACCCTTATATATATATATATATATATATATGGTAACGTTATGTGTGTGTTTGTTTAAAGAATATTTGTATTTTTTTTTTCGAAACATTGATCATTTGTAAACTAAGAAAAATAAAAAATACAAACCTCCAACGTCCTGAGGAATCAAAATTAAATTATTGAGTTAATACTGATATTGATAATTTTTAAATGAAATTAAGGAAAAAAATAACAAAGAAATGAATTTCCTCAAGGACACATTGAAAAGTATAATAAAAAGGTTAAATCCAGACAGAATTTATTTGTTCTGTATCATCACTTTGTTTGGATGAATAATTGCTACCAAAAATATACCTTATATATATATATATATATATATATATATATATATATATATATATATATGTGTGTGTGTGTGTTCAACATTGTGCGTGCAAATATATTGATAAAATAGGAAAAACCCTTTTTTGATGATCAAATTCTTTAGTAAGATTTTTTTTATTTTTTAAAAAATTAAATGCTTGATAATTAAGTAGCGCCTCGATTATAATTATTTAAAAAAAGTATGATTCCATCGCTACACAGGAATTACCATGTTTCAAAAACATAAGCTAAAAACTTCCAATTCAATTATAGAAACTAAATTAAATTACCAAGTTCTGTTTCATTTTCAAGTGATGTTTAAATATATATATATATATATATATATATATAAACATATATTACTAAATATAACA